TTTCCTCTCTAAGATCACCAATCCTTTTTTTATTACAGTGCAGTTACAAAGCACATTGCTAAAATTTTGGTTTTCTCTTTCTTTTTTTTTTCTTGATATGTTCAAATAATGCTATGGCAATTTGAAAAGCTTACTCCATGTTTAACAGAGTAAGTAGGTACTTTATAATCTTACCATGAATTTTTTTTTAATTACTTGAAAATTGGAGGTAGGTATTTAAAAACATCAGGAATCCTTGTGCCGATGGAACAGTTTTGTATTTTGACTGTATCACTACGAATAACCTACTTGTGATATTGTACTAGTTTTGCAAGATGTTACCATTACAAGAAACTGGGTAAAGGGCACATGGGATCTCTGTGTTGTTTCTTGTAACTGCATATGACTATACAATTACCTCAAAACAAAAAATTTAACTTCATAAAACAAAAATTACTAAAGAGCAATTTAATGAGAATTCATTTTTCTGGCCCTATGTCAATATTTTCAACAAGCCTATAGGTACATGGGAAATCCTGTCCTCCCCAAAGAAATCACCAGTAACTGAAGAATGAAAAACCGCATTCCTTTTTAAAAATTAAGAACTAAAAAATACTTGTAACAATTATTTCCAAAAATCTTGAACAATAAATTTATACTGTTAAAAGATTCTGAGTTGAATACAGAAAAGTAAAGCTTTAACTTGCTAGTTACAATAACTTTCTAGATGGAATTATCAGAAAGACACACTCAGTATACACAGGTGGCTTGCAAAATGACAATATCGCTCTCCCTTCCAACATCTCTTATTACTTGGGATTCGAAAACTAACAACAAAATTTTTTAGATATCACTTAATCTACTAAAAATTAAATCCAAAATCCCAATTTGGATCTATACACTCAAACCCTGAAGTTGGGGGATGACAGGTTTAAAGTCCCAAACCATTTCCATTTTGTCAATCCTTTCAACGAACTTTCTTTCTATACAAAGTCCTAACAGAGTACCTCACCTTTCACTCCTACAGAGAAACACTTCTCTCAAGGTCACTATAAGAATACTTCACAGAGCCTATCATGACCAAGTGGACAAATTCAAAGTTTTACCACAATGCAGAGAAAATTAACACATTGATGAAGAAATAACATTTCAACAGACTCCTCAATACAAATAATAATAAATACACATTTATCTTTTCCACAGTGATTTTTGACAAAATGTCATCTATCATAGCAGTTATTTGTTTTGCTTCAGGAATGACATAAAAAACATCATGTACTACAGCGTATATTATATGCTTTCAGCTAAAAAACTTTTTTTTAAATATTGTATATTATTTCCCCAAAACAGCCTACTGTTAAAATAAGTCATCCTCAAAAAGGACAAATAATCAAGAAAGGAAATTATACTACACAATTATAAACTATAGTTTTCACAAGGCAAAAAGCATGGGGGTTTTACAAATGTTACTCCAAAGACAAAAACCCTCTAATCTTTACAGCAGCTCTTCAAAAGGAAAGTCAGATTTTACCTCCTTATATGCTGCAAATAAACAAGTATTATGATATATAATATCCTTTGAAATCAGTACAGAAGATTATTCGAATGTCAAATATATAAATTTAAGTATAAAAACAAAATAATATTATTATACCAGTAAGCATTCCCTTTAAGATCAGAAATGGCTATAGGGAAACCATATCTAACAATATATTTTGATATACAATAATGACTCATGCCATTTTCTCTTCCCAAAATTTAAATCCATTCACCAATTATTAAAAGTCACAGCTTTTTTAAATTATAATTTTTTTCCAACATTTAAAACAAACCACATAGATAAATATTGCTATGTCCACTGAACACAGGTGTTTTAAGTTCAAACTTTCGGCAAATGAATAACATCTAACAGTTTTAAAACTAAAAATTTCCTACTCCAAAGAATCAAATACTGTGACCACTTACAAAATATAGAAAAATAATTTTTCTTTGTGTAATGCAGCCTACTGAAAGGACAACTTCTCCAATGCTGTGCCTGTAATCCACATCTAAGTTCACACGCACTTTTTAATTTCACAGACTACATAAATCAATCTCCTTAATTTTAAAAAGTGAAATAAATATAATTGCACTTATTCTAAAAACAGAAGTGTGCCTGTAATCCACATCTAAGTTCACACGCACTTTTTAATTTCACAGACTACATACATCAATCTCCTTAATTTTAAAAAGTGAAATAAATATAATTGCACTTATTCTAAAAACAGAAGGCATTTCTAATAGCAAGTTTCTGAAGTTCATGTCCTACGATCAATGAGCATCCAGTTAAATATATTTTCCACAATTTAAGCTGGAACTAACAGCCTGAAACAGCAAAATCATTACTCATTTAATGAAATATATTAAGCATCTACTATGTATTAGACAAAGTAAAATGAAAGTTCGTGAGAATGAATTATTAGTTGCAAACATTTACAAAACACTAGTAAAGAAAGGGAATATAGCCACTTTCTATATTAATAATTTTCTCCCCATCTCCCCAAAAAAGTAACAATTTCCAAAATGTAAAGGAAGGAGGTAGGAGAAGACTAGGGGTTTGGCTAACATTCTATGATATCCTTTTGATCAAGGATAATAGTGGCCTTTAAAATCCAAAAACGCGTTTGTTTTACTTATTTGAGATGTTAAATGACATGCCACATTTTCCCACAAGCTGCAATTTCATAATTAAAAATGAATTTTGATAAATTAAGTTAGTGTATTATTTTAAATAGAAAGTCTTTTAAAGTGGTACAAAGTATTAAATTGGTTATGAAATTAACCTTATTTTCTGATGTTTTGCTCTCACAGTATTTTAAGAAATTAACTATCATTTTACTAAGGGAAATGCAAAGCACCAAAGAGGAATTACTAGGTTTCAGCCAAGAGATGTGACAGCTGGTTTTCTTAAGATGATGCTGTCATGGCTTTGGTTATTATTATTTTTTTTAATCTCTGAGCACTAAGAAATAAATTTAAATTAAACAGAAAATTACAGCTTTTGTACACTAGACTGGACCTTGCTTCTGGAATGTTTGCTTTAAAATTATGAGTTTTAAAAAGTTGGAAATACAAAAAATGTATACTTCGGAAAAATGAAATAAATGTTTAATAATGCAGCATTATTACAAAATACTGAAAGTAAATTTAAAGATGACAGCCCTAGTGTAGAATAGAAATCTAATTAACTTTACTCTAAATATTGTCCTAATGTACTCTGAACATAGGACAAAATTCAGTCATTTAATGGGTGTCATTTTTTCTAAAACCTAAGTTTCTATTCATTTTTAACATTTATTCCATTCACATTTTAAATAACTGTCCACAAAATTATTGATTTCCTACAGATTTCCATGGGAATGGCCATCTTTTAAAATAAATAAATCTTACTAATTATTGCTTGACTCAATACCACCTTTTATATGCACATATTCAATAATACTAGAAAGTCATGAAGATATCAAAATGCTTTGTACTTTTCTACTAAAGTGTATCACAATACCAAAATAGGAGTTTCTAGTTTTAGACATCATCTTACCTGATCCACTGAACTGACTGCTTCCCAGTGTCGTTGGTCTGGTTTTCCCACTATTAACAGGTGGGGAAAACATCTGCAAAATAACCCAAATATATTTGTCAGTCCTGATATTTCTCTAAACTCTTTGCAATCAAAAGTCCACCAAGAGTCATCGGTTAGTTACTGCACTTCAGAAGGAAGTTGAAATAAAACTGGAGATACATTCAGACCGAGGGAGGCAAAATGACTGAGTGATATTATTTCCTAACACTACTTGGATACACTGGTTACATTCTGCTCTGAAAACTCAGTCACTTATATGAGAGATTCCAATGTTGTTAAATTTAAAAAGTAAATTTTTATCCACGATCTTCACTTTGGAACTAAGTTATCTCATTACATTTACATCACAACTTAATACACTCACATAATCAGAATCATGTTCAACGAAATTACTACATACAGTAAGGATTATAACACAGTTCTATAAAGCAGGTATATAGGTCCTGCCTCCTAACAGCAGTTTATTAATAAAGGAATTCAACCCTAGAAATAAGGGCAGTCTGCTCTTTGGTTTTAGCTAGTATTTTTAAGTCATCTCCCATGTTAAGAATATACCGGTATATATAACACATTTACACACACACGTACTGTATACATACATCTTAAAATAAAAATACTCAGCTCAAAAGGCTAGAAATTCTGGCCCCGGACTGGCTTTCTTGTAGCTGACATCTTTCAGGTACCATAAACCATTATCACATTTTGGGGTGGGAAATGGTGAGCAGTGTTGAAGAAAAAATAATTTTCATTTAAAGTCCAAAATCCCTCATAATCATCAAGGTCAGAGGGTGACTCAACCAATCATGAAGATATCAAAATGCTTTGTACTTTTCTACTAAAGTGTATCACAATACCAAAATAGGAGTTTCTAGTTTTAGACATCATCTTACCTGATCCACTGAACTGACTGCTTCCCAGTGTCGTTGGTCTGGTTTTCCCACTATTAACAGGTGGGGGTCTGGTTTTCCCACTATTAACAGGTGGGGAAAACATCTGCAAAATAACCCAAATATATTTGTCAGTCCTGATATTTCTCTAAACTCTTTGCAATCAAAAGTCCACCAAGAGTCCTCGGTTAGTTACTGCACTTCAGAAGGAAGTTGAAATAAAACTGGAGATACATTCAGACGGAGGGAGGCAAAATGACTGAGTGATATTATTTCCTAACACTACTTGGATACACTGGTTACANTGTCCACAAAATTATTGATTTCCTACAGATTTCCATGGGAATGGCCATCTTTTAAAATAAATAAATCTTACTAATTATTGCTTGACTCAATACCACCTTTTATATGCACATATTCAATAATACTAGAAAGGCATGAAGATATCAAAATGCTTTGTACTTTTCTACTAAAGTGTATCACAATACCAAAATAGGAATTTCTAGTTTTAGACATCATCTTACCTGATCCACTGAACTGACTGCTTCCCAGTGTCGTTGGTCTGGTTTTCCCACTATTAACAGGTGGGGAAAACATCTGCAAAATAACCCAAATATATTTGTCAGTCCTGATATTTCTCTAAACTCTTTGCAATCAAAAGTCCACCAAGAGTCATCGGTTAGTTACTGCACTTCAGAAGGAAGTTGAAATAAAACTGGAGATACATTCAGACGGAGGGAGGCAAAATGACTGAGTGATATTATTTCCTAACACTACTTGGATACACTGGTTACATTCTGCTCTGAAAACTCAGTCACTTATATGAGAGATTCCAATGTTGTTAAATTTAAAAAGTAAATTTTTATCCACGATCTTCACTTTGGAACTAAGTTATCTCATTACATTTACATCACAACTTAATACACTCACATAATCAGAATCATGTTCAACGAAATTACTACATACAGTAAGGATTATAACACAGTTCTATAAAGCAGGTATATAGGTCCTGCCTCCTAACAGCAGTTTATTAATAAAGGAATTCAACCCTAGAAATAAGGGCAGTCTGCTCTTTGGTTTTAGCTAGTATTTTTAAGTCATCTCCCATGTTAAGAATATACCGGTATATATAACACATTTACACACACACGTACTGTATACATATATCTTAAAATAAAAATACTCAGCTCAAAAGGCTAGAAATTCTGGCCCCGGACTGGCTTTCTTGTAGCTGACATCTTTCAGGTACCATAAACCATTATCACATTTTGGGGTGGGAAATGGTGAGCAGTGTTGAAGAAAAAATAATTTTCATTTAAAGTCCAAAATCCCTCATAATCATCAAGGTCAGAGGGTGACTCAACCAAAGTTCATGATTCCATCGTCCTCCTTTTAACTAGTTAAATCAAATGACCCCTCTGGCATTAAAGTTTTAAATCTGCAAGTCTAGACATTACATCAAAGTTCAGGTGTCCAACTTGGGGGAGCTGGACTCCAGCCCTGAGAACTACTGCTCAAAACAGATGGAGTTTACGCTGCCTAGTCTCCACACCGCTTTCCCCGTCTTCCTTTTTTCGTACACCTCAGCAGACCCCCAAGATGCGGTGAAAAGCTCTCATACCGCACTGAAGTCTAGCAGGTCGCTCAGCTCCTTGTCGGTCCCTATAGCGGCCATGCGCTGTTGCTGGGGATTCATCTTCGGCCACTTCTAGCAGGTCCTATGGCAGAGGAAACAGGCTCAGCGAAAGACCACCGAGGCCCAAAGTGTGTATGGGGAGCAGAACAAGAGCACTGGGGGCACCGGGTGACTCGCTGCCACCTCGGCGCGAGCAGGGGGCGAGCGAGCTCAGCGCCCGCACCGGGTCCCCGAATCCACGCGTTCCTCGGCGCGGCCCGAGAGCGACGCCGGCGCCTCCCGCAACTCGCCACCTCTCCCGCAAGTTTCCAAGCTGGTCCCTGCCCCCTCCCCGGCGCCCACTGCTCCGCGCCGCCACCGGGTGCTAGGCGCGCGGGGCCTCTTCTGGTGGGGGTCTCGAGGGGCGGGGTGAGAGGCAATTGGGAGTCCAGCAAGCGGAGCGGCGGCGAAAGGAGATGCGAAGTGACTCACTCGTTCGGCAACAATAGAACTGACAAGTTGCTGGGAACGCGCGGCTCGCAGGCCCGCGTCTGCGGCCGCCGCCGCCCGGACGTCCCCAGTGGGCCCAGGGGCTCGGAAAGCACCCCCCGTGCG